GGAATTGTTCACCAATAACAAAGGAGAAGGAGATAGAGAAAGTGAGGGACAAGGAGCTCCAAGGGAGCAATGAATTAACAAAAGTAATCAATCCAGTTTTGCTAGAGAGGCTGTGATGAGAACTTCCACATGCTCTGGGTAGAAATGAGAGACATAAAGTTGTCTCTGGTTCATCTAGTCAGCACTTCAGCTGTGGGAATATGCATCTCTTGGATCAGGTACATGGCACTCCAGAGCACATACTGACTGGTAGAGGCCACTGTTGACAAGGTCATTTTCAGGGATGTCTAGAGAATAAGAGACCGTAAAAACAAAAAATAACTGAGATGGGTAAAGGATAGCAGAGAGTGAACCCAAGGACGACAGCTTGGCTTTCTTGATGTCAACTCCAAGAATGATCTAGAACAGACTCTGAAAATCTTTGAGAGGCATGATAAAACAATCACAAGTGACAAGCATCTGGAATCTGTGTCTGAGGAAGAAACATCTCACTCAGATCAATACACATTGAATGAGAGCTATAAAACACTGCCAGGGCTTAAGTGTGGAGAATGAAGAAGGCCATTCAGTCCTGGGTGAGGTGTGAGGAGAGGAGAGGAAGGCAGGATCCTTAAAGACACAAGGCAAACTGGCTACAGTGGTACATGCCTGGGACCTCAGCATTTCGGAGGTGGAGGTGAGAGTGTCACAAGTTTGAGGCCAGCCTGGTCTATTGAGCCAGTTCTAAGACAGCCAGAGCTATTATAGAAACCCTGTCTCGAAAAACCAAGTTAGGTGAGCATAGTAGCACATGCTTTTAATTCCAGCATTGGGAGTTCAGGGTCACCCTGGTCCACACAGAGAGTTTAATGCTAGTTTGGAATACAAGGCACCCCAACTAAAGGAAAACATATAAACAAGCAACAAGAAGAACAACAAAAATGACAAAGCAGATGGAGGCAAGTGCATGTAGGCAGAGGGGAGGAGGTGGGAGTAGCAGGAGGAAGGAGTCCTGGAGAGAAAGAGAGCTCTTTAAGACAGAATGGAAGAAGGAACTTTAGCATCTACAGAATCTGACTGGCAGGAAGTGGGGGCAATGAGGGTTGGTGAGAGGGCTCAGTAGTAAAGGTAACAGTCACTAAGTCTGGCCACCTGAGTTTGCTCCCTGGAACACACATGGTAGATAAAGAGAGCCAATTCTTATAAGTTGTTTTCTGACCTCATACATGCCTGTAGCATGGCATGCACATGCGTGCGGACACAGAGACAGATCTAGACAGACAGATGTACAGGCATGCACACACACACATACACACACACACACACACACACAATTAAAAAATGGGAAATAATAAGCTAAATGGCAGCCAGAGGAAACAATGTGGCTGGGGAGAACCCAGGTCTTGCTAAGCATATAGGGCAGGCAACACTCTGTGTATGATTTGACTGTGTAGGGAAAGCCAGGAAATTCCCAAGAGAGAAGCTGGAGTCTGAGCAAGGTAAGTGGAAAGTAAGGAAGGTGTGCTCAGACTTCCCAAGGACGGAAGTATCAGGTGAGCACAGCATGAACTGTGGTTTCTTCCTCTAGATGGGACTGAGTGGTCTGGGTGCTCAGTGGGTAAGGACAGATTGTCATTAGCCCTCCACTTCCCTAGAGGGGAAGTAAAAGCAGATGCTACATGATCCTCGATCAGGAAAATGATGGAAAGGACAGAAAGCTGGAAAAAAATCACTGCATGACTTTTCCATCTCTAAGATTCAATCTTATTTTGAGATAACGTCTCATCTATTTCAGGCTGGCTTCAAACTTGTTACTTAGCCAAGGAGAACCCTGAACTCATTATCCCCTTGCTTCTGCCTCCTGAGTAATATGACTACAGGCATGTACCACCACGCCCAGATCATGTGATGCTGAAGATGGAACCCAGGGCTTAATGAATGTTATGCAAGCACTCTACCCGCTGAGATGTGTCCTCATCCCTAAGATACAGTGCTTTGTGCAGGGACCACCCATCTTGGTGTTCTGGAATGAACAGTATGATTTGTGAAAATGCCTAGTTGCCACCAACTCTGCT